CCCTGGGGATTTAGGAAGCTGAGGAATTTGTTATACCTCCCAATCTGCTCTTCCATTCTTTAAATCTGGCATCGTGGCACCTGCCGCCTCTATACCAAGTGAGTATCGTTCAGTCTACAACAGACTGCTGAGGCCCGAACTGTGAATTTCCTCAGATGATCGAGACAGACGGATGCTGCCCTTAGGGCTTACGTTCCAGGGGTTGGGGATAGAGACAACCCGTACGCACACCCACAGACGCGTTCTGTAACGTCGGGCAGTGCTGAGTGCTGTAGCAGAAGACAGAACGGGACGAGGGGGAGAGTGGAGAGCTGCGTTAGCAGGGGGTCAGCCCAGGCCTCCCTGAGGAAGAGACGACCAAGCAGAGACCTGAAGGGAGCAGGAGTGAGCGGGACCCCTCTCTGCTTCTCACCGCTCTCTGGCTTCTCATGGCCCCAACGTCCCATAAAGATCACGTGGAGGCCGAGAGTTGAGGCACAGGGCAGACCCTGCTTCCCACCTTCCATCTTGGCCCTCCCTACCAGGCAGGTAGGGTGCCCTCCTGGCCCCATGGGGGACCGTCAACTCTGTCACAGGATCACGCAGCATCCAAGAGCAAGGTGGACTCTGGCTAACATCAGAAGTGTCTACCCAGGCAGGCCCGGCCTGGGGACAGATCCCAGGCACAGCCCAAGGTGGTGGGGATCAAGTCTTGGGAGGACCCAATTGCACCTGGCAGCTAGGAGTCTCCCTAAGATTCCAGGAGACCTCTGGCAGGTGGCCGAGCATTACCCTGACCCTCTTCTTCCCCTCAGCAGGACAGAGTCTGAGGCACCCCCAAGACCAGCCTCCCCCAAGGTCAACAGGACCCCCCCCGACACAGCTGCCCCAATGGAGGATATGGCTCGGAGGAGTGAGTGGGCTGTGGTAGGGGAGAAGGGGACAGAGGGTGGGCAGGGAGGGGATGGGCTCCTGATCCTCTCGTGTTTTTAGGCAGCCAGGGGAAGCCAGGAATCGAGGTGGTTCAAAGTCCAGGTTTTGCCACCAGGCACTCTGCATTCAGATTCCAACTCTGGGACCTCGGGCAGGTGACTTCACCTGTCTGAGCCTCAGCTTCCTCCTCTGTAAGGGAGCACTAACTGCACTTAGCTTGTAGGGCTGTGTGGAGAATTCGGTAGTGCTGCATGGAGAGTGCCTGGCTCTAGCACACGCACATGCTCAATAAAGCCTAGCCAGCGTGAGCACTGGGGCTTTGGAGTCTAGTCCCTCAAGAGGCCCAGAGGTCACAGAGTGCAGAACGGGGAGGAATCTCCAAAGGACAATAGAGGAGGGGAGGAAGTGGGGGTGGGAAAAAACCTGGGGTCTCCTCTGAATCTCTCTGGTGCACTTACCTGTCAACTTGGCCCAAAGCCAGACAGGTGAGAAGGCCAAGGGTTCAGGTGGGGAGTCCTCACCAGGGTGACTGACATACTTGGGGGACCCTGCCCAGCCCTGGAAGCACTGGAGCTTTCCACTTGGTGTGGAGTGTAGAGCCAGGAAAAGGTGGAGCAGCTGCAGGAGCCTCTGCACCAGCAGGAGCTGGCAGGTCGCACAGGGAGCTTCCTGGAGGAGGGGGACTTCTAGCCACCTTTCCTGGATGGGGGACAAGTAGGGAGCAGCTGCAGGAGCCTCTGCACCAGCAGGAGCTGGCAGGTCACACAGGGAGCTTCCTGGAGGAGGGGGACTTCTAGCCACCTTTCCTGGATGGGGGACAAGTAGGATGTTTGCTCACCTGAGCACAGCACCACAAGTGCTCGAAGGGCTGTCGCAGCATCACCTGAGCTGGTCCTCGCATCAGCTCTGGGAGGTCGAGACTCTCATTCCATCTACCAGTGAAGAAACTGAGACCCCAGAGGGCAAGTGAGTCACCCCAAGTCCCCCAGCCGGTAGAGCTAAGGCAGAGTCCAGACCTCCTGGCACCAGGCAGCCCCTTGGCTGCCCCACAAAGTTGGAACTGTGCAGTGGGACCTTTGAGAGCTGGGGGTAGGGTAGTTCTGATGGGCTTCAGGTGTCAGCAGGGACGGGTGCATTCATTTATTCAGCAGAACATACAGACAGCCCTTCCATGCCTGTGCTAGCCAGCAGTACACAGATGGCTTCATGGGCTTACCTTCTAGTGAGGGACACAAGCAACAACCAAGTGAAATAAAAATGGACAAGATCATTTCAGAGGACAAAAAGTCTGAAGGAAACAAAACTAGAGAACGTGACAGTGACTGGGGTGGGGCATTGGGGGGGTGCTACTCTAACTAGGGTGGTCAGGGAGGACCTCTGGGGAGCGGGAAGAGCACTAAGGGAGCCTGAATGAGGAGGAGCCAGCGAGGAAACAGTGTTTGGCAGAAGGAACAGCAATACAAAGGTCCTGAGGTGGGACTAAACTTGACGGATTTACACCGGCCATGTAGATGCCTAACCTCGCCTCCCCTTTCCTTCCTCCACAGCCAAGCGCCCGGCGCCAGCCCGGCCCACCATGCCACCCCCCCAGGTCTCCAGCACCCGCTCCTCCCCTCCAGCCCCACCCCTGCCCCCTGGCTCTGGAAGCCCTGTGACCCCCCGAGCTCTGCCACGCCGTCTGGTTGGCAGCAGCCTCAGGGCCCCCACGGTGCCACCCCCATTGCCCCCCGTTCCCCCCCAGCCTGCCCGACGTCACAGCCGGCGTTCACCAGCCTCCCCCAGCCCCGCCTCCCCGGGCCCAGTCTCTTTGAGCATGCCTGCAGAGGGGGATCTGGGGGTGGCCACAGAGGAGGGAGGGGCCCCTGAGGCTGTAGGTGGGATCCCCGTGTCCCCAGCTGTCCTTCCTCAGCCCCGGCCCAGGAGCCTTGCCTCAGAGACAACTGAGCGGCAGCTCCTCCCTGACTAGCCCCCAGTGTCCCCTCCGTCCCCACTTTGTCCTCCCAGGACAGAGCCCTTGCCCCTCCCAAGTGGCAGGGTCCTCCAGCCTTTGCCCACAAGTGCCTCGGTGCCCGCTGGGTCGGCCCCCATGGCCAGGAGGGCTCAGGACAGTCCTCCACCTCCTGACCTTCTCCTCTTCCGGTCTGGGTTTGGGATTCCCTACCTGACTCCCCACTCTCTGGCAGGGTCACAGGGGAGCCACTGGAAGGAAGGAGAGGCTTGCCTGCTCCTACAGGACTTTTACTTTTCTCTTGCCAATGTATTTTTTGTAAGGCTGGTAAATAAATTATTTTGGACAAAACTGGAGCAGCTGCCCAAATGAAAGTTTTATTTTCTGTCCTCAAAATAAAGAAGCCACTTTCATAAAGGGGAAAAAATGATTTATTTGCTTCCCCCTTTTGTCCTAAAATGACAGCCAACGGTTTTAGGGCTTACTCTGTGCTCCACACGTGCTTTTCTGTGCATGATTTCCATTTAATGCTCTCCCAGTGGAGTAAATCCCTTTACCTCTTATGGGTGAGGAGACTGAGGCTCAGAAGGAAGTGACCTGCTGAGGTCACAGGGTGAGTAAGGCATGGACCTGGGATTAGGACCTAGGTCTGACTGATTCCAGAGCCCAGGCTTGTTCCTCACACCTGGGAAACTTACTTCACTTCCTGGTATCCCGGTTTCCTCACCTGTGAAATAGGATAACAGTTTCCCCACGAACGTGTTCTGAAGATCAAATGAGACTCTCCTGTAAAGACCAAAGCACCACACTTGGCACACAAAAGCGCCCAGTAAGTGTTGGCTACTGCTTCTGCTGTTCACAAGAGGCAGGGAAGGCTCCCCAAGGGAGCAGGGATGGCTCTGTCCACAAATCTTCCCTAAGGCTGCTCTGTGCCAGACCCTGAGCTAGCTCCCCAACTCATCCCTACACCCAAAGAGTTCCTGGGAACAGACAGGCAGAAATGACAATTAGGATCAATTGGGAGCCCTTATTAGGTCAGTTGGGGCGGGCCATCTAACCTAGACATATGTGTGTATGGGGGGGGTGTAGTCAAGGAAGGCTTCCTGGAAGAGGTAGTACCTAAAGGGAGTCTTTCAGGGGCAGGCCAAGTGAAAAAGATGGAGGAAAAAGAAACATTCCAGGCCAAGGAGACTACTTGTGCAAAGGCCAGAAGCAAACAGCCTGGGGCCCTGGGGAATAGAAAGGAGTTGAGCCTCAAAGGCTGGACTACAGAATACATTTCTTCCCACTTGCTCCATACATTATTGCTCCAGTTGGAGCTCCTTTGCTCCTGGGGTCAGCCAGGTCTTCAGAGCTTTCTGAGATTGGCAGACAAAATCTTCATCCCCACACTTTAAACCACTGGTTCCTCATAGGTCCCAGACCTGCAGTTACCTCCAGATCAGAAGCCCCCCTTCTCCAAGATGGGGACCCAGGCAGCTGGGTCACCCCGTCACCGCCCTGGGCAACTAGCCACTGCTGCTCTGGCTCCTTCCCTCCCCGGCCTGCTCGGTGACAGGCTACCTGGAACCCGGTGCTTCTCCACCCTGGCTTCAGAGTACAATCCCTGTAGTTTAAAAAAACCAGCCAAACAACAAAATCGCCCGGGCCCCACCCAAAACAATTAAATCAATCTCTGGGCTCCTGCTACACAACGGTGTTTTTAAAAAGCGTTTGTCAAAAGTCATCGAACTGTACTAAAGATCTACGCATCTTACTGTATGTATATTATATCACACACAAAAAATAAGTTCCCCAGGGGACTCTACTGCACAGCCAGCGTGGAGAATCACTGGTCTAGACTGAGGGCCCCGGCGCCCAAGAAGACCCCATTCGCCTTTTGCCCCATCACACCCACACGTTTCTCAGGATTTCTCTCAGAACTGGAGCGTCCCCGGTTCAGAGAGCAACGATATTTGACTCAGAGACGACCCGTCCCTTAGCATCTGTTTTCCTCCTAGCAACCAGCTCTCCCAAGCGTCTGGTTGGCTGGGGAGTGCAGGGCTCTTGGCTTCACGTTTTCCTTTTTTTTTTTTTTTTTTTTTTTTTTTTTGCTCAGCCAGTGAGCAAACCGGCCATCCCTATATGGGATCCGAACCCGGGGCCTTGGTGTTATCAGCACCGCACTCTCCCGAGTGAGCCACGGCCGACCCAGCTTCACGTTTTCTACTTCTAGCTCTTTATTGGTTAAGAAGAGCGTCAGTTTCCCAAGCTTCAACCCCTATAGGAGGTTGGTCGGAGCTGGGGCTCGGCGGCGACTGGTCCCGCAGGGCCAGGGGGCGGGGAGAAGGGCCAGGCTAGTTATTCATTGGTCCTCTCTCCTCAGTGAGAAATTCCCCCTTTCTCCAAGCTCCGTTAGCTCTCGGATTCACGCCTCTCCGAGACTCTCGCTCCCATTGGCCGCGGGCCAGAAGGGCCAGGGAAGGGGCGTCTCCAGGTGGCAGGTGGGGAGCAGGACAGATGTGAGGGAGATACCAGGGATGCTTTCGTGTCCATGTCACCCCTGGAGGGGCAACGGTAGGGTCCCGTTTGACAGGTAAGGAAACTGAGGCCCATTGTGGCTCAGGGAGATGCAGGCGGAATCCAGGTCTCTCGCCTTACAGCCCTAGCCTTTCAGAACCAGTCTCAAGGACTCCTGTCATTTTGCCCCACCTGGAAGGATTGTCGGCCCCACCCCCCGTGGGAAGATTGGAACACCATTCCCAAACACAGGATGTAGGCAAGTGTGTGGGGAGCACGGGAAGTGGCATTTGATCCGAGTTCCAGTTTCAGTTCCACGCTGTGTAATCTTTTTCAGTTACATAACCTCGGAGCATGTCTGTCTGGGTGTAAAATGGCAATGCTCACCATGCCAGTTTCAGCCAAGGGACAGAGATTAGGGTGAGTGCCTGGCATAGTAGGTGGTGGGGTGATGTAAGTTGTAGCCAGAATCCTTCCATGTTAACAGAGAATTTTATGAAGCACCTTGATGTCTGTTCTTATTTGGTTTCCAAACTATTCCAGAAATGGGAATTATTGTCCCATTTCTCAGTTAAAGAAACTGAGGGTGAAAGAGGGGAAATGAGCTGTCCGAGAGCATATAGTGAGTCAGTGATAGAGCACGGGAACCTGAACTTGGCTCTTGTGACATCCACGCCCCAGTCCAGGACAGTCTTTGCTGCTGTTATCTCAGGCATGCCCCCCAGCAGAGGAGGCAGAAGCCGATGGAGCTAGACAAGAGGAGGTAGCAGCGGCTAACTGGCAGTGATGCATATGTACTCCAGACAGTTTGTTGGGGGCAGGGACAGATCTCTGTTTGTCGGTCCCTGCTTGCCACTGGCCCAGACTGTCAGAGATACCAAATCCTGGGGGACAGGGTGGTACTGAGCAAGGTGAAGTAGACACAGGATTACAATGTACTCCAGACAGTTTGTTGGGGGCAGGGACAGATCTCTGTTTGTTGGTCCCTGCTTGCCACTGGCCCAGACTGTCATAGATACCAAATCCTGGGGGACAGGGTGGTACTGAGCAAGGTGAAGTAGACACAGGATTACAATGGCGTGATGAGGAGGGTCTAGTGCCAGGGAGATCTGGGAAGGCTTCCTGGAGGAGGGATGTTGCAGAGCAGGGTGATAATGAGCAAGGAAACAAAGATACAGTGTTACGATGGGGTGGCAGGGAGGGAATCTATAGTTTTAGACCTGTCTTGGCTCTGCTGCAGACCTACTTGCTATGTGATCATTTCAGCCTCAGTTTCCCCAAAAATCCGAGGTGAGGGCTCTGGTTAGGCCTCTCAGTTGCGCAGCTCCCGCCCGCATAGGCCATGCTATGAAAAGTGAATTTTTCCCTGGAGGCTTCAAAGCTTAGGTTAAGGCTGTGGGTTAAGAGGTTCCCCAGGGCGGGTGGTGCCAGGAGTTGGGGAGAGACCAGGCCTTGTCTGCACCTGCCTCACAGTCCTCTGCGTGAACCCAGACCCCTGTGGTCTCAGTACACACCTGGCTATGCCCATGCACTCTGCTGCCCTCCCACAGCCTAGAGGGGGAGGCAGAGGCTTATTAACAAATACAGCGCTGCTGCCACGTTTGTGCACACTGAGTGATGCAGCTTTGAAACAGTGATATAAAAATACTAACAAAAGTCCCATAGTGGGTAAAATCTGAAATAATGCAGATTGCCCACTCCTAACTCCCGCTCCCCTGCCATCATGGGCCCCTATGTTGTGTGTTTGCCTTGTTGTCACATGCCAGCCGCTTGAGCTGGTAAAGAGAAATGTCCACTGTCTTAGGAATATGTCATCATCATGACATGCGACAGCCTCGGATTCAGAATGTTAAGTGGTATAATGTGGTCTGAGAGACACACTCATAGACTCCCCTAGTAGGGTGCTCGGTCCCCCAAGGTAGGCATCTTCGTTGTGCTGACTGCTCTATCCCCAGTGTCTGGCATATAGCTGGGCCTCAGTAGATACCAGCTGAATGAATGAAGTGGGATGTAGGGGGCCGGAGAGTGATCTCTTCCGTCCTGGTGGGAAAGGAAGGAGCTCACAGAGCTGGGGCTACTCTTGAGCTGAGAAAAACACTTCGGGGTGACTCAGTGGAGCCCCTCCTGTCCTGGAAGGGATCCTTAACCAAGGGGCAAAATGGCTTTTATTCCTTACTGAGTTCTTAAGAAAACAAGCAGGCAAGTTCTAGGTCACATGTCCCAGAGAACCTCCCAGTGGTGTTGCTCTGGGGCGACCTGGAAGCCTGAGTTCTGGCCTCTCTCTGCCTTGATTCTGTGACACTGGGGAAGTGCCTCTGCTTTATCTGGGTGCCGCAAGGCTGAGGACTCCTGCTGCCTCCGCCTGTCTTCCCCTTCTGTGCCTTTGGCTTAACTAAGTGGAGTGTTGTCGGGTGTGACAAGGGAGATAGGAGGTCCAGAGCATTTGGAGTCAGACCACTGGCACTGAGATGCATGTTTAATAGCTGGAGGAGCCTTGATTTATACCAGTTATGATTTCTGTGGTGCAAATACTTCCATTATGGCTAATTTCAGGCTACTAGTGTGAAGTCCCTGAACGTGGAGCTGGGAAGAGTGTACAGCAGCCACCATTATACAGTCTTTCCACCGG